CCGCACACCCTCACAATTTGCTGTAGGCGATCTAGTCTGGGTGAAGTCAAAAAGGTTTCTCCCTGAGGAGAGCATTTATCAGAAGTTATTACCCGCCTATCGAGGACCCTGGCAGATTCTTGATGTGATTGGTGATGTAGATGGTCCTTCTTATGTTGTTGAGATTCCTCCACATATGCACACGTATTCGGTGTTCCACGCTTAAAAGTTTTTGCCTTGCGTTAGTAATGACATATTTCGATCACGCAGATCTATGATTCACATATGCACACGTATCCGGTGTTCCACGCTTCAAAGTTATTGCCTTGCGTTAGTAATGACATATTTCGATCATGCAGATCTATGATTCCTCCTGATATGGATGGTAAGTATGATGTGGATAGGATTGTTGGGGAAGATGTTTACAGATCTGGACGCAGGGGTAGACCACAGCGACAATATAAGGTCAGATTTGCCTATCAGGAACCTACAGAAGATCGCTGGTTCACGAGAGATGAACTAATGGAAACAGCACCGCATATTGTGTCATATTATGAAAGAGCTAAGAGAGGAGTTAACATAGTAGATAGATAAAATTGGTAATTTTCTTGGAGGACCTTGAAATTAGGCCAGCGAGAGTGAAAGGCCTTCCACGATTCAGGCCCCAAATTCGGGTCTCAGGGTCAGAGGCCCTGGTCAAGAGAGGCCAAGTTCGTCAAATTCAAAAAAGTCACAGTCGGGAACCTCAGCAGTCCAGTCCAACAGGCACCCAACAAACAGTCACATCTTAGGGGCAAAAGTCAAGTCTCATAACGAAAAGTCATATTGAAGAGAGACATCCCACGAGTAAAAGGCCAAGTTCCACAGGCAAGAGTCATGTCCCAGAGGCAGGAGTCACAATCCACAGTCAAATCCATATGCCAAAATTGAAGAGTCACGACTCAAAGGCCCAAGCAGCAGCAGACCAATTCGGGAAGGTTCCAGGCCATGACATTCAGAAGCAGACAGGTCGTGGGGATGTGGTACCGAAACCCAGTCAGGCCCCAGAAAGCAGAGGGTGGCATGAGTTGAAGTGCATTCCAAGACTACAAAAGGACTGGCCAGCCTACCATTCGGGGAGATTGCTCATTCGCACGAAGTGTGGAAGTGCTGGTGCACTTGTGCGCTGTAGTGAGGGGCAAAGCGCTGAAGCTAGAGTGCTGCGCTAAGAGAGAGAGAGAGGGAGGAAGAAGATTGCGCTGGCAGGGAGAAGCCAGCCATAGCTGCGACAGTGCAGAGTGTTAGTGGTAGACTTCAGATAGTTAATAGGCATATCAGTGGATGTATTCAGAGTAGATCTTTGAGTAGAAATTAGTGTGTGTGCACCCATGTAGGGAGAGAAGACATAGCGAGGACATAGCTAGGGAGAAGACCACCAGGGAGGGGAGATACATCAGAGGAAAGAGCAAGGAGGGAAGAGATACTTACCTGAGAGCTAATGTTGGTTGTTGGTTACCTTAGACATGTGTTGATGTGCACTGGTGACTCGGAACTTTTATTGCTCTTGTATTAACTTGTTGGAATTCATAAGCTGCGCTACCTGGTCTTAATCTCTCTGGTTTCCAGTGTGAACTTCGTGTGATCTCATACATGCATGTGGTGTGAATATGTGTGCTCACTGGTGTTGAACTAAGAGGTTCATTGCACTTGTACTGCATCGGTGAGAGAGAGAGAGAGAGAGAGAGAGAGAGAGAGAGAGAGAGAGAGAGAGAGAGAGAGAGAGATTTCCAGCCATGCATGCAGAGAGATAGAGAGAGGCTACTTCCATCGACAGGATGAGCAAAATCGGAATGAATCTTCCAGTAGAATATGGAAATATACACTGCTTTCCAGCCTGCGCGCAGAGAGATAGAGAGGCTACTTCCATGGATAGGATGAGCAAAATTGGAATGAATCTTCCGCCAGGACATGGAAATACACACTGCCTTTTTTTGTTTTGTGCGTGTGTGTGTGAGAGACAGAGAGACACAGAGAGAGGGAGAGAGAACAGGTAAGTCTCCAACCTCGCGTCTGGCCTCACGCTACTTAATAGGATGAGCAAAATCAAATGAATCTTCCATTAGAACACGGAAATATATGCTGTGACACTTGTAGATGCAGTCCACAAACCCGTGGTAAAAAAAGACCCCGCCAACAGCAGCCTTCCGCCTGAGTGTTCCACATCATTGTTGCACAATCGCGCCACCCAAACTCCATTCACACAGGCCCGAACCAACCTCGGCCCGGACAGTCGCTGCCAGACTCAGAAAAAAAAAAGCGGAAAAACAATATTTGCGCACTCACCGCCAGACTCAAAACGATAGTAGGGCGCGATTAAACGAACCGAGGAAAAATGATGTTTGAACACTCGCCGCCAAACTGGAAACAAAAGTCAGGGGCTGCAAAAGAGAGGCTTGGCCCAAACCGACCTGGGTCTGATTGGGAGCGAGGTGTCGCGTGGGCAGCGTCACGCGAGATCCGCTCTTTCCTTTAAGAGTATGAAGATTAACTGTGGCTGCTGCAGAATCTGCTATTTGGCTTGCTATTCTTGTTATTACTTTCAAGGCGCGAAGCACCGCCACATACGAAGTGTGGTGCTTAATCCAATCCGCTCTTTCCTTCAAGAGTATGGAGATTAACTGTGGCTGCTGCAGAATCTGCTATTTGGCTTGCGATTCTTGTTATTACTTTCAAGGCACGAAGCACCGCCACATGCAAAGTGTGGTGCTTAATCCAATTTCGCCATAGCTGTTTCTTTTTGGAATATGTATACAAGTTCAATGCTGGAAAGGAGTATAAGCATGCATCATATAAGTATGGCATGATTTGAACGTGTGACCATTAGGTTAAAAGCCCAATGTTCTACCAACTAAGTTATGCACGCCGAATCCAGATAGGATTAGTAGGATTTGAGCTCACAATATCACCGTTATGAGCGGAGTATAAGCATGCCTACCAATTCCAGCATATCGTTATGGGTATTGCAGGATTTGAATGTGTGACCATTAGGTTAAAAGCACAATGCTCTACCAACTAAGCTATACACCCAGAATCCAGATAGGCTTATGTAATGAACCCAGATCGTGAGACAGTTGTCAACAATGCAAGTCCAAATAAATGTCCATCGGCTGATGATTACTAATAATAAAAAAGCGTGACCAGACAGAATGAGCTGAGATATCATACACAGACGAAGAGAGAGGAAGGAGAAGAGACAAAGGAGAGGAAGAAAAATGCCCACTCCTGCTTCGGGCTCCCTCCTCCACTGCCACCTCAACAATCAATAGTCTGAACGAGTATCCGAGTATCCTCAATGTGCCACGTGGCACGTCTAATCAGTTCCACATCAGCATCTGGAGCAATGTGGACATGAAGACCACCAGCCTCACCAGGTACGTATCCTTGAACTCCCCACAACCCTGATCTCCTCCTGAAGTGACGACAAACAGAACAGCAATGCCGCTTACGTAGTCCCCTCAATAGAACGTGTGGCAGCAGCCACGTCAGCCAAATAGTACACGTGGCAGCAGCCACATCAGCGAAGGCGCATAGCAGCTGCCACGTCAGCATGCCAAGAAGACAGGAGCAAGCCGGCCACCATGCCGGACTAGCAGCGCCTCGCCAAGTTACAGTGCCAGCAGCGTCGAGCCAGCGTCGCAGCGTTGAGCCAGCGTTGAAGTCAACTCGTGAAGTCAGCATCAACGCAAGACAGAATGAATGTCAAAGGCAAGATGCCAACTCTTATGTAGTGTTGACGCGGGGTCTGGACCCCGGCTGCGGTATCCCTCGACCGTCCAGATCTCAATGCGAATGAGGGCTCAGATCGGCCCGAAACCGTTGGATACCGCAGCCGGGGTTCAGACCTGAGTCTGTCGAGTGTGGCTCTGTGACCGAACGCTGCACACAGGAAATTCAAGAGTCAAAGTCAACTGTAAAGTCAAAGGTACCGCACCCAGGCCCTTGGTTGGATACACTCACTTGTTGTGCGCAGGTACCCAGACAGCATCCAGGGCGGAGGGAATTTGGTTTCAGGCCAATCTGGGCCCTCATTCGCATTGAGATCTGGACGGCTGAGGGATACAGCATCCGGGGTCCAGACCCCGCGTCAACACTACATAAGGGCCGACTCCCGGGCTTTGACATTCATTCTGTCTTGCGTTGATGCTGACTTCACGAGTTGACTTCAACGCTGGCTCAACGCTGCGACGCTGGCTCGACGCTGCTGGCACTGTAACTTGGCGAGGCGCTGCTAGTCCGGCATGGTGGCCGGCTTGCTCCTGTCTTCTTGGCATGATGACGTGGCAGCTGCTATGCGCCTTCGCTGATGTGGCTGCTGCCACGTGTTCTATTGAGGGGACTACGTAATCGGCATTGCTGTTCTGTTTGTCGTCACTTCAGGAGGAGATCAGGGCTGTGGGGAGTTCGAGGATACGTACCTGGTGGTCTTCATGTCGACATTGCTCCAGATGCTGATGTGGAACTGATTAGACGTGCCACGTGGCACATTGAGGATACTCGGGTACTTGTTCAGACTATTGATTGTTGAGGTGGCAGTAGGGGAGGGAGCCCGAAGCAGGAGTGGGCATTATACTTCCTCTCCTTTGTCTCTTCTCCCTCCCCTCTCTTCGTCTGTGTATGATTACCTCACCTCATTCTGTCTGGTTACGATGGACTATTAATAATCATCAGCTGATGGACATTTATCTGGGCTTGCATTGTTGACAATTGTCTCACGATCTGGGTTCATTACAGAACTCACAGTATCACCGTTATGAGTGGAGCTCTCTTCACTACATTCTCTCTCTAAGCTGCTTTTTGACACAGGCGGAGCTGTGCTTGCCCTTCTTGTAACTGTTATTGCATGGGCTGGGTATACACATAGGCTTGTCCTTTTTATGTTTTGATGGGCCTAGTAGGCCTACTGTCACTGTGCAGTTTTATGTTGCTTGGTGGGCTTACCGTTATCGTGTTATTCATGTGTTTGTTTTTTTGTAATGCTACAGATCATCAACATGCCGGGCAACCCAAATGCAGTTATCGAATGCCTAGAGTCTTTGATGCCTGCACTCCCTCATGCTCTCAAGCAGTTGAGGGGCGACAAGAAAGAGAAACACCCTCGGCATGTGGCACATGACGCTTCTCCCGAGGAATTCAGCATCTGGCTTAGTACAGTAAACAGCCATGGTAAGGCTGTGAAAGGAATGAAGGAAGAAAAGCAAGACAAGGAGGATGAGAAAAGTAGCAAGGAGAAAAAACGAGAAAAGCGGGACAGGAAGGAGATGGAAGAGGAACAGAAAGCAGAAGAGAAGGAGATGAAGAAGAAGGAGAAAAAGGAGAAGAAGGAGAAGAAGGAACTCGAGAAGGAGTCGGTGAAGGAGAAGAGCGATCACAAGAAGGACAAGGAGTCTTCAAAGGAAAAGAAAGAACACGAAAAGGAGAATACAGACGCGAAGGAGTCAGCGAAGGAGAAGCGCGATCACAAGAAGGACAAGGAGTCTTCAAAGGAGAAGAAAGAACACGAAAAGGATAAGAAAGAGCATGAAAAGGATGCCAAGGAGAAAAAGGATCATGAGAAGAAGGAAAAGAAAGAGTTCAAGAGGGAGAAGAAAGAGCAGGAGAAGGAAAAAGACCCTGAAAAAAAAGATGCAGAGAAAGAAGCTAAGGACAACAAGGATAAGGATGGCAAGAAAGGTGGGGCAAAGAAGAAAGTGAAGAAAGTTCACGAGGAGAAGGCCATGTCCAGAATCAAAGATGTCAAGGCGGAAGCCAGTGGCCAAGGGTCTACAGCTGAGCTGACGACCCCATTAGAAAGTCCGCAAGGACAAGATTATCCACTGTCAGACAAAGCACAAGGGTTAGACAATGAAGGTATAGAGAAAACGGAAGATACAGAGGGAATAGAAGAGGACGCAAAGGTAGTAGTAGGCGTAGAAGGCAAAGAGAGAACAGAAGATGCAGAGTTAGGCGTAGAAGAAACCTGCACTTCGAAAGGAGGAGAGGATGATGCCTATTATGTGAATGGCGGAGAGATACACAGTGTTGAGGAAGAGACGGAAGACAAGTCGGATCATGCATCTCCGGGGTACTCTGCTGACGCTAGTGCCAGGTCAGAAGGATGTGGTGAGATGGAAGGACCAAACGGAGATGGGACCAAGGGGACGGATAGGGCCACAAGTGTCGAGGTGCAGACCGAAAACATGTGTGTACATCTGGGGGACCCGAAGGACGAGGACAATGGGCATGAGGAGGACAAGGATTGGGAGAAAGTCGGATCGTTTCAAAGCCCCCGCACAGTTCAAATTGTGGATGGGAAGGATAAGTCGGCCGCCTGTAAGACAGAATCAGGTCAATGTCCTTGCTAGCGACGAAGTCAGCAGATTGTGTGGTCAAGGGCTTACAGAAAGAGACAGGAGACAGGACAAGAGTGGTGGGCTGTGGAGGCAGTTAGTTACGAGACTGAATTCACCTTATGCTGGTTGTCAGGGTCAGTGAGAGAGTATAAGCACACATTGCTTGTGAGTTTGAGATTTGTACCTTTAGTAGCGGGCAATCAAAATTTTGCATGTCGGCAGTGTTATGAGTGAAACCCAGTGTGTTTTTTGCTGCGAATGTGCGGTTACTGTCTCCTTTGTGTTGTATGTCAAGTGCAGCAGCCAGTAGAATGGAGAAGGAAACAAGGTGAGAGCCTCTTGCATCTAGGTGAATGTAGGTAGCGTAGCAAAATTATTGGCAATATGCTCTCTCTTCTGTTGTGCGAGCGATGAGAAATCCGATGCAGAAGGCACTGGATCTTGTACCTTAGCCCAAAGACTGTGGACGTGGAGGATTAGGTACCTTATCCCCTCAAAGGTAGTGGATGTGCCAGATTCCCTATTTTTTGTTGTGGATGTGCCAGATTCCCTATTTTTTGTTAAGTGACTATCTTTGAGCACTGCTTGTGGTTGATGGTGGGTTTGTTAGAGGACCTGCTTTTCCCGACTCTCCAGGGGGGTTGGCAGTGGCCTTGTGTTTCTTTACACACTGTGTGGGCAATATACTCTCTTGCCTATTCTGGCAAGGATTGGATACCGTGTTCCAAAGGGAGCAAATGCAGCAGATCTTCGATTACTAAACGCACTGTCTTCAAGCACTTCTCCGCGTGGCGTTGATGGCGGATGTTGCAGTGGACCCGGTGCATTGTGGGGCTCCTCTGAACCTGCTTGTTGTGTATCCAATAACGGGATCTGGTTTGCTTTGCTGTCCATAAAGCTGATGCTTTGGAACTTCACGTAGAGGATGTGCCTGCTACGGTTACAAGTTAACGTGCCTTTATCTACTTAGAGATGGGGTTTCCAAGCAGGCTCTCACCAAATTACTCCAAGCTGTATGCAGCAGCATAGTCAATAGTCTCTGGGACAATTGACTATATCTGCCATCTTCTTCACCTTCACGGGAATAGAGAGCGTACTCACACTAGGGATTTTTGTACTACGCTCTGGACGTGATTACTGTCAGATTTCTCCAGGTCTTGCCGTAATTGCGGTCAGATTCATTTGGGAAAGTGCTAGTGTGAGTATGCCGTGATACTATATACGTGATGTTGCCATCTTATCTTTCCATTCATGCCAGTAGCCAATAGTACGGGTGGCCAGTTCAGAATCCGCCACGCCAAATTTGGTGTATAGTTCCTACTTGGGGGGGAGATTCATAGTTAGCAACGATTCGGTATTTTGAAAGGCAGACTGCCAGAAGCATTGGGGGTAATCTGAGATTCGGGACATTATGCGTCAAGAGGTTGGGGATGGTAGGTTGTTGTTAGAGATGTAGGGGCTCTAGAGAGGTCTAGTCTCACTCATCTAGGGGGTATGCGGTTACTGTGTGTTCCCCTGCCTGGGAGCTCAACTGTTTGTGAGGAGATATGTAGCCCACTCCGATGATGTGGCACGAAGATGCTGGCAAGGCACATAACACATTGTGAGCGTTAAACCGCCAGTACACGGCCCCAGCCTGCTGAAAAGAAAACGTGTCGCCTACGGAGGCCCAGCACCGTAGATATATTGAATCGGTGGCGGGCGGCCTCCAAAAGGGGCCCGCGGTGGATAGCTCGATGTACTGGTGGTTTATTAAGGTGCTATCCCTTCGAGCTTGTAGATAGATAAAGTGAGGGAACAAAAGTTACGAAATGGTTGGGTGTCAACTTCACAATGCCTTGTTCACTGTCCATTGACCAGCTGTCGCCTGATTTGGCCAGGTTTGGGAATAATGTAGTAGGAGGCTACTAGGAGCCCAATTTACTAGTCGTCATCTCGATGCCTGCCTCCCTGGCACTGGATCCTCCATCCCGAGTTTGCACGGTGTTTTTGTAGTTGAGGACTGCGTTGGTAAGTCGTTGCATGGTCAAAGCACTTGTATGAGGCATGGTACCTTTTCGATGCTCATTTGTGAATCCTTTCCCCCAAGGAAAGAGACAGACAACATGCTGTTTTTTTTGGGGCGGGGGGGAGGAAGATCATGTTGGTTAGAGTGGAGAGTCTATGCGTTACAATTGGAACGATACAGAGAAGATTAGCATGGCCCCTGTGCAAGAAAAAGAAAGAAAAAGAGTGGAGAGTTGATGCCTTCTGCCAAAAAGATGGGGGTGTTCAGCAGCAGTGGCGGCAAACTGGTTTGCAGACAATAATTTTGACCAAGCTTTCTGACAAGTTGAATTCATAGGAGATAACCCACCGTGAATCTGAAGGATCCTGATGACCGAGGGGCGGCAACATCTATTACTTCCACCAGAATATGGCCTGTGCTAGTGTGGTGTTATCAAATTTAAGAGGTAAGAGGGGTGGACGGGTGTGCAACGACAATAATCTTGGGTGGGGTTTTTCAGGAGAGATGTTCTCAGGAAAAGTGATAGCCATCCACAATATTCTTGGGCGCATTTTTCAGGGGAGAGGTTCTCAGGAACACGGGTGACCGATCATGAGTCTGACTTGATGCTGGTAGACTTCCTTCAGCACGGTATTGCGGCAAGAAAGCATGTCAGACCACAGGGGTGTTGTCTTTTTGTTTTGTGGTCGGCTTTTACAGGAGAAAAAAAATAGAGTAGAGAATCGATATAATGGCCAGCCAGAGTTTAAAAGATGGCCCATGGATGTGTATTACGTAGCATTTCTTCAGAAATGGCTTCTCTGACTTATGGATAGGTTTGCTTAGCCAGAGCTTAAAAGATGGCCCAGGGACGTGTATTAGTTATGTAGCATTTCTTCGTAAATGGTTTCTGTGAACGAGGCGGAAACTTACTGATAGGTTTGCATAATTCTTGTGGAAGTATATGACGGCAAGGAAGGAAAGATGGATGCCTTTTGTGCAAAAAAATGTGGGTAGCACGGAGGTGAAATATGTAAGACTGTCCGATTCTATCAATGCAACATCATGCTTTGTGTGAAAATATGTTTGAGCATGGCAAATGAAAACCCAAAGTCACAGTTCGCAATTGAATGTGATCCTATCAAGCATAAGCTTTCTTGCTCCATGAACCGGACTTCTTCCTGTCATGTTATCTCATATTGTTGCCTGCGAGGGGATTGATATCGAATGTGTGTGTGTGTGTGTGTGTGTGTGTGTGTGTGTGTGTGTGTGCGCGCGCGCCCTTGAAACAAGTTCTGTGTGGGCTGTACATATACGGGTTGCCTCTGAGCCCCATGCGTGTGCAGCTCGCAACGGTGTTTGATTTGGCAGTTACACACCAATAGATGGAGCCTCCTTGGTGGTGTTAGAAGTGTCTGCTCGTATCAGCACTCCTAGCATCCGCTCGGGTTGTTAAAAAAAAAAAAAAAGAGAGGAGAACAAAAATTGCTAACGAAACTGGAAACCAGCTCCAGTGGCCCTTACACCAGAATCCCAGTCAAGAGACAGCAGCATTGATAATTACTTCCCTTATTTAACGAGGATGAGCTCTACCCCTGCATCCCTAAGACAACCTTTTGGAACCAAACCGTTCCCTCTCTCGACTAGACTTTTACTCTAAACGAAATTCAAAGAAATCATCAGGAAAATTCCTTGGAAGTCCACCACCGCGAACTGCCCGAACATCCAGAAGGAACTAGGATTAAGTCCGTTCTGCGACCTTGTCTCTCTCAGTTCCTATCTGTCTCACATTGTATACATGTTGCATGAAGTTTCTGTGATGTCCTAGACTGATGTCCCATCTTGAGTTACCAATTTGTGATATTCGGGCATCTGCCGCTGACTACCACTTTTCTGCTCCCCTTTCTTTTTTTTGGCGATGGAAAGGGTGGTGGCCTTGAGATATCGTTGTCGAACTGGTATCTGAAGGCCACTGCCCAGGCCGATTGTCGAACTGAGTCAGCGGACGAGCTCATTTTCGCACTGATATCTGATGGACGCTGCCTGGGCACGCAGGTGGCATTCAGTAGGTTGTGGGTCCAATCCCGATTGTCCTCATTTTCTTTCCTGGACATGGTTTCCGCCATTGAGAGGTAGCCCGTTGGCCCCACCAATCAGCATTAAGCAGACAGTGCTGGTGTGATTAGGGGAGGGGACCGGAGGGGGGAGTGCATAGATTGGACCAGATGGCATGGTCTCTGACGCTACTGAAACGGTTTCACCCAGTTGACCCGACATCTGCAGACACTGAGATTCGATCCCTAGACCTGGGCCAATATGAAGAAGGATGGGAAAGGACAACTAATCCTTGCATATGTTGAAATCTTTAGAGCTAGAGTAGGAGCCCTCATAGATAGTGGGGCCACGAGGAGCTATATTAGTCGCAAAGTGCTGAAAATGTTAAAGCTTAACTTGAAAGTCCAACGATTAGGAGAGCCTGTAGTCAGCATCCTCCCAAACAACAGTAGGATGCGAGTCGAGGAGTACATCGAAGGAATTCAGGCATACTGCCGCCTAGAGAACGAAGGGAAGGTAGAAAAAATTCTTCATTCCTTGACTCTTCTGGTAGAAGATAGTCTCTCGTTTGATAAAGTTATGGGTACAGATTGGGGAGAAGCAGCAGGAGCCACTTTGCACCGTAGAGAACATGAGTGTAGGCTCCCTAGCCCGTCAGGCGAAGTTAAGCAAGTCCACCTGTACCACGAGTCCGGGGTAGATAATCCCCTCGCACATTGTTGCCTCAGCGCTCCTGCCTTCGCTAGACTCGTAAGGAAGGAGCAACTCGAAGAGCAGGTGTTCGTAGCCTATGTTAGGCCGATTTCTGATAAGCCAAAGGGTGAAGAGAAAGTCCATCCCGCTATTGCCAGTTTACTGGAAGAGTATAGAGATTAAGGAAGGAGCAACTCGAAGAGTAGGTGTTCGTAGCCTATGTTAGGCCGATTTCTAATAAGCCAAAGGGTGAAGAGAAGGTCCATCCCGCTATTGCCAGTTTATTGGAAGAGTATAGAGATTTATCTGAGGCACCTTTAGAGTAGTGCCAAGACCTATCCGACATCGTATTGAGATAGAGCCTGGCAATAGGACCCCCAAAAGGGCAATCTACGGGATGTTTCCCAGAGAACTGAAAGAGCTTCGTAAGCAGTTAGACGAGCTCTTAGAGAAAGGATGGATGAGGCCCAGTTCATCTCCCTTTGGCGCACCTGTTTTGTTTGTCCTGAAGAAAGAGGGAGCGTTACATATGTGTATAGACTAGCAGGGGTCTGAACGCCATAACCATAAAGAATGTAGAACCGCTTCCCAGGATAGACGATCTCTTAGATCGAATGCAAGATTGCAAGTACTTCTCAAAGATAGATTTGAAGTCAGGTTATCATCAGATCGAGGTGCACCCTGACGACCAGCACAAGACGGCGTTCAGGACTAGGTACGGGCATTACGAGTTCATAGTGATGCCCTTTGGACTTACTAACGCACCGGCCAATTTTCAGCGTTGTACGAATGACTTGTCTAGGTCATGGTTAGACAGGTTTGTTGTAGTCCCTAGATGACATTTTAGTCTTCAGCAGGACCCTTGAGGAACATGAGGGCCATCTCAGGCAGATCTTGGAGAAGCTAAGGGAAGCTAACTTCAAGATCAACGCAAAGAAGTGTGAATGGGCTAAGATTGAAGTCCTTTACATAGGTCATGTATTGGATGTAGACGGTATTCGGCCCGAGAACAACAAGATTGCATCCATTCGAGACTGACCAACTCCTCGCACCTTGACAGAGTTGCGGATTGGCTAACTACTATAGAAAGTTCGTCAGGAACTTTTCCACGATAGTCGCTCCCCTACGTAGGTTACAAAAGAAAGAAGCTATTTGGCAGTGGGACCAAGATTGTACGTCGGCCCTCAAGAAATTGAAGAAGGCATTGATAGAGCATCCTGTCCTCAAAGTCGTCAATCCGTCATTGCCCTTTGTCGTCACCACAGACGCCAGTCAGTATGGCTTAGGTGTCGTGTTACAGCAAGATGACGACAATGGTTACAGGCCCGTAGAGTTCATGTCAGCTAGGCTGCCCTTAGAAAAGGTTGTGGCATCGCCATACGAGAGAGAACTCTACGCTCTCAGGCAGGCCCTAGACCACTGGAGACAGTACCTGCTTGGGAGGCACTTCAAAGTCTATTCGGACCATGAAATGCTTAGATGGCTAAAGACGCAGGCCAAGATGACGCCCAAGCTGACCAGACGGGCTGCTGAGATAGACCAGTTTGACTTCGAGTTGACGCCCGTTAAAGGGAAGTATAACGTGGTAGCCGATGCTCTGAGTAGGAAAGCTGATTACTTCGGCGCGAAAGTGCACTATAAAGACATTGGGGCAGATCTGCAGCGGAAAGTGAGAGATGCATATGCATAGGATCCTATTTATAGTGAGTTGTTGAAAAGAGTCAAGGAAATTCCACATAGTGAGCCTCACTATCAAACCACGACGGGCTACTGTTTGAGAAGACCAACATCATTGACAGACTCTGCATCCCCAATAGTGAAGAGATCCGTAGTCTGATCCTAGGGAATGCCACGAAACAGAAGGGCACTTCGGTTGGCAAAAGACTCTAGCTAACCTGATGATGTCCTACACGTGGCCCAACATGAAAGCGGACTGCATAGAGTATGTACACAGTTGTAAAGTCTGTCAGCGTAATAAGTCAACGACTACAGCCCCTCTTGGCCTTCTCAAACCCCTGCCTATTCCATCAGGACCTGGAGACTCAGTTTCCATCGACTTTATGGATACTGGGGTCAAAAGTAGGCATGGCAAAAGTCAAGTCATGGTCATAGTAGACCTGTTTAGTAAATATGCAGTTTTTGTTCCTTTGCGTTCAGAGGCACGCACCGATTTAGTTATAGAAAAGCTTTTCGATTTCTGGGTCCATATTTAGCAATAGAGACACACGGCTTACCAGCCAGAACTGGCAGGATCTTATGAGAGTATACAGATCTAAGTTGTTGATGTCGTCCGACCGCCATCCAAAGACAAATGGTCAGACTGAACAAATTAATAAGATCTTGCAGCAGCTACTCAGAATGTACATTAGACCACATCAGGTGAACTGGGATGAGATGCTTCCTAAGGTAGCAAGCGCCTATAACAACAGTGTTCATCTAGCTACCTGTAGGAGTCCCAATGAGCTGCACAAGTCCAGGCCAAGGAGGCCGTTTGAAGGACTGAACCGCGATCAGATCCAAAGACTAAGCAAGCTAATAAGCATCGCCGACCCTCGCAGTTCCAGGTAGGTGACTTAGTGTGGGTGAAGTCTAACGAGTTCGCACCCGAGGAGAACATCTCGCAGAAGCTCTTCGTACAAAGGACCATGGCCCGTCCTAGAAGTCAAAGGAGGAGAGGACGGACCATCATACACCATAGAGATCCCAGCACACCTCCACACGTACCCAGTCTTCCATGCCTCAAAGCTATTGCCTTGCACCACCACTGACAAGTGTCCTTCGCGAAGGTCAATGATTCCGCCAGACATGGATGGTGCATATGACATAGACCGCATAGTGGAAGAAGACGTGTTTAGAACAGGAGGTCGAGGTCGTCCCCAGAAGCAATATAAAGTCAGGTTCGCATGTCAGGAACTGGAGGACGACAGGTGGTTTACTAGGACAAAGCTTTTAGAAACCGCTCCCGACATAGTACACGCTTACTAGAGGGCCAAAAGGGTAAAGGTCCTATCTTTAGTTAGACTGTTCTCGGAGGACCTCGAATTTAGGACGGCGGGAGTGAAACGGTTTCACCCAGTTGACCCGACATTTGCAGACACTGAGATTCGATCCCTAGACCTGTGCCTGAACCCTGTACATTGACCCTGTGTGTGGAGTGAGGTTCGACCCCTAGACCTGTCCCTAAACCCTGTACATTGACATTGTGTGCTGAGTGAGATTCGAACCCGTGACCTGTCCCGAAACTCTTTGATTAGTCAGTAGGTCTGATCCATAGATCTTTTTTAAGTTTTAACAGGTTAGTGTGTTACCACTAGGTCTAGCTAGGGCCCATCTAGAAGTCTCCACCAGTCTGTACGTAGGGGCCTAACAG